TGGTAGCAAAGGTGACATGTATCAGTGGAATTTTTTTAAAAACAGCTGTATATGTGGTTACAAGCACGATACTATAATCATAACGCTAGTGCTTAGTTCCTAGCATTCAGTGACTAGATTTTCCAATGTTTTCGAGAAAGCATTGATTTTCACTAAGGCTTTTTTGAAAATTCATTTGGAATAATTCATGTTTCCTGAACAAACCTGTCTTCATTGCAAAAAGAAAGAAAACTGGCTAAGCGAGCTACCTAGCTAATTCAACCATCTTCATATGTGGCATCTACTTTCAACAATAGTTCAATATTCAAAGACTCAAACAGTTTCAGTCGATGAAAATCAGCTGTGTCACTCTGTACGAAGACTGAATCATCAATCAGGCGAAGAATGTTCCATATAATAGTTGGGTAACGGTAGCATCTGTTTTAGTACATTGAGACAATTGATCAGTAGGAGAACAAGAGACTGACTATGTAGGCAAAACTCCAATTCAATATAATATCATCCTTGGAGGAAAATTGTTGAAGAAATATACATCAATTTCGATGAGCAGTTTATTTTTGCCGACGGTCGGTACAAGATTGATTTGAACAGGCAAATGATCATAGAACAAGGAAGACAAGGTCTACCAACATACTAGCCATGATCATCTGTTTCTTCATCATCAAGAAGTTTTTGGTTAAAAGAAAATATTCGTTATATCTAACGTATATTAAATGTATTGATGCGAAGAAGCCTGAAGATCCAATAGAATATGACTGAAAAGCATTGATGAAGGTCTTTGTTTTACGATAATGTGATTTTCTGGAATTGCTCGATATAGTACAATTATTATCAGTGCCGAATGTCGAACGAGATAACTGCACATAAAAAGTGCTTGCACTATATCGCTTGCAAATATGTCTATTATCGTTGTAAATTTATCTTTCTTCGCTTGATGTTGTTGTTTACGTCATTCTTATTACTTAAACTTCATACATATTTATCTCCGCTATGATTCTCCTCTTGTTTCTTATTTTATCTTTCCTTGCTGTTGATTAGATCGTCTTCCGACCTCTGTTACCACGTCCTGCAGCCATCTCTTGTCGATGTAGTTCCACGTTACTCTGTTTCTGTTTTTTTTATTTTCTCCCATATAATGGCCTCCTACTCGTATTTGATCGTTTCTTTTCTGTTCTTGTTCTCTTTTTTTCTGATCTCTCGGTTTTTTTTCATCCTCTCGTAACGGGTGCAGTAGAAGAAATTTTCTTTTTTTTTATTAGGCTATTTTCTTAAGTTAGATTTGATCAAACATGTTTCGCTTTGTTGTTGAGAGATAGAGAATTTTTTGTAGATTTTATTGATATGTTCTCTTTGAAAAACCGCCTACCGAATATTCGTCTCATCAAAACTACGGAATACTCATAGCTGCCACCTATTCTACACTCTTTAACCCCTCACAATGACTACGTAATATGTGAATTCAAAATAACACTACTCAGCGCCTCCCTTCGATAAATTGTAATTTTTCTATGTTAAAAGAAGCCTGCAAGTTATACCGAATTATCGAAGTTGAACCTCTTCTCATTTACAGATGAGAATCTCAATGCTGTTATATGACTTAACAAATAAATGAGCCTTAATGTATACGTGCATACAAAAAAGAGTAGCTTCTGCAAGTTCAACATTAGAGAAGCTAGTAAAAAAAATATATGATTCTTTAGCGCGAGTATGTGCTCTTGATTTTTTGCATCTTTTTAAAGAAGCAACAAGTTAACCTATCAAAATAAATATACCATAGGTGAACCAAAAAATTCTTGTTTGAAAGCTTCTCATTTTCTAATTGAGCAATGCTATGTTTTGGGAGACATTCTTTTTTCCAATAGAACATAATAATAAAATCAATGCAGAAGATTGTAATCGAATCTAATCTGAGAAAATAGCCTAACCAAAATCGAAAATTTTCTCTGCTGCATTGACGATATTGTCTTAATCGTATTGGCTGAGTTACATCTATCGATCCATTTTGACCAAAGTTTTGAAAGTAAGGAAAAAATAGTTTCTACTTTTAATCAAGAGTGCACGGAAGGAAACTATTTACTGTAGCATAATCAAAGCGATATATATATATATACAAGATTGATATTTTTTCATGAAAACAGGATTTTTTTTATGTCGAGATAATTAAATTGCAACTCAAACTCCAACCTATATATTTCTTTGACTAAAGTCCAGTAGATGAAGCATCGTTGAATTTGTTTTTTTTGTTAACAAAAAGAGAATTTTAAAGAGTCATATGTTTGTTTTAACGGGAGTATCGGGTTCATATTTAGTGCCAAAAAACGTAATACCTATCAAAATAAAATGCAGTATCCTTCTAGACATATCAAAGGGCGTAAATCGAAATACAAATATATCAACTACTCTAGACAAAATAGACAATTCTTCTTTTTTAAGTTTCCTTCACAAAGTCTTCATTATTTTTTATGAAACACGATTATTAATAGGTTTTGTATTTTCATAATTCTATCGTTAGAATAGGCTTACAAAATATTTTATGAGATTTTATATTTTTGTTTAACTTAAAACTAATTATCTAACAAAAAAAGAATCCAATCACCTATATAGTAGGAGAATCTATGGATAAATAATCTACCGTGGGTTGTAGCAGCACTCACGTGAAACATTGATCTAGCAAAGATAATCGGAGGAAACTGCTGAAGAAGAACAACCTAAACTAAATTAAACTACCGTGAAATGATCTTTCTATGCTTAATTTCTAGATTTCATTCTTTTCATGAAGAAAATCAATTATAAATATTATCATAAATTGTATCAAAATTTTAGTCGATCGACGTTATCTGTTTAATTAACCAATGAAAGTTACTTTCAATGACAACGGCAAATAACTAACCATACTACAACACAGAATAAAATTGAAGATGAAGATGAATCGCACAGCTCAAGCAGATAAGTATTTGTCTTATGTATCACTTAGGGAACTGCTACAAGCGAAAAGAAATTCAAAATTAGTAATGTCTCCTTATTATCTTCCACAAAATACGAATGATTATATGCAGAACTAAATGGAAATACAGGCTTTTAGATTGATAGTATTATTGAGAAACTCAACGTTATACCAGCACATATCGACTTCTGCCAAGATCATGAGTTACGTGAATGCTATGTTCATTCATTCTGTTTGAAGAACAATATGCATCTGTAGATAAGAACGATACAAAGTTAACAAATTCAGTAGCAGTGATCGAGAGAATGTTTATCATCGACAGAGTGGACAATGAAATCATTGCATTTTCATTGAAGTCGACAGTGCCGACTCATGAATCCAAATCATAAAACAACATATACACAGCTAGCGGTCAATAATGACTTACGTATCCATTAGAAAAAAAGTCATATTTGGATTTGCTCGAGTGCCATTTGAAACTAATGATGTTTGTTATGCTTCACTGAAAGTGAGTTTTCTTCTTTGTTATGTGTGACCTCTTGCCTGACCATTGACTTTACTTCTATCTA